GAAAAATAGATCGAAACATAATTTATCACATCTCATTCGGAAGAGCAATAAAAACACTTCTCGTTTCTATAATTACATAGTTTCAAACTTAGTCTGTTGTAGTGAAAAAATATGTTCGTTGAGAGAGATACATTTGAAGAGAGAAGAAGCTGCAAGAGCTTTTTGGGTAACCTATCGTATTCAGATTTTTTCTCACTCCAACTTAATTAGAAAAAATTTTGTTCTCTTTGTTCTTTGAAGTTCAGACTTTGCGCTTTCCAGCGAAAAAGTAGTGAAATCGCCAACTCATCAGGAATATGCAGAAATAATGCTCGACATTCGTGCAAAGACATTTGCATCGCATGCTATGTCGTATTTTCAAGAAAATATGTATTTCTTTCTTTTGTTTATCCTTCAGTAAGTTCGCCAAGTTTGTTTCGATGAAATATGCCGTTGATATTTGTTAAACGGCTAGAAAGTAGTTACATGATTGGCAATGATTCAAGGCGGGAGACCGCGATACCCGGATCGAGCTTGTCGAGAAACGGTGTTCACCTAAGTTTGGTGTTGAAGGCAGTTAAAATGTTTTCCTCGAAATTTTTGCCTGAGGTTCTCTCAGGTGTTATGCCTAAAATGTTGGACGAAAACGTTTTTTTTGAAACACATCAAATTATATATCATTCGATGCAATTTTTCAAGCAATCCGTTCTTTTCTCACTGCATCGTTGACTTTCATCCAGTTCTTTGATAACTTCAACTCTGGAAATCTTGAATTTTTTTACATAAATCCCCAGCAAAAAAGTCTTATGAATCTCACGAGAAAACAATGTTTTCAACAACATTTTCTGAAACTGCATTCAGTTTTCTAAAAACTCACATTAGTTTTAATTTCTACTGACATATCTCGAGCCCTGCATCATTCGACTGATTTCTTGATCCTGAATCCGAATATGACCTTGTTTCTGTCAAAATGTGGAATTTTGACCGAGAAAATGGCAAAGTACAGGTCCAGTTTCAGAGTTTTACACACTAAACTCATCAAAATTGAATTTTTCGACAACCAAGTAAAATTTTTCAAAACCACTACATACTTTTTTTCTCACAACTATATCAGTGAAAATGAAGTATGAAAGAGAATTTTATCTTCCAAATCCTAAGACTAGACAGGCTTGCAAGGTTAGCCGGATCGTTGTCAAGGTGGTCAAGCATTTGGTCCACTCGGTTTGATCGGTCACGCTGTACAAAAACCGGATTTAACAATGGAAACAATCAAGTTTCTTGTCGAAAACGACACACAAAATAAATTCGCAATCACACGACAAGACGCACAAGGACAAACAGTATTCACATTGGCCAAATGTCAACAGCGAATTGTTGATTATTTGAAAGAAGTATTTAATTTAGAACTGAATCAAATACCGTTTCAACCGACTGTCGATTCGAAAATGGCCGTTCAGTGCATTCAACAGGGTGCAAATCCTGAATGGACCGATGATAAAGGAAATACAGTATTGTGCAATGCCGTTTTAGCTAATAATTTGGATTTAGTCAAGCATTTAGTTGCCGCTCAATCCAATACACAACATAAAAATTTGTTGAAACAAAAACCGTTGAGCATAGCTAAGAATGCAGCACAGAAAAACCCATTAATAATTGCCTTCCTAGAAAATGAAGGTATC